TCCCTTAACCTCGCTGAGCGGGAGTCCCTGCCCATAGCTCTGGGCCGAATCCCTTTGTTTGAAGTCTGAGGCCTGCAGCGGGCTGGGGAGGGCGCAGGGAGAGCCCCGCCAGCCGGGCCCCTCGGCCTCCCCGGGTTCGTGTGCATGGCTCCGGCGCCTGCACGCTCCAGCGGCACCAGGCCTGGTGGCCGCACGGCCCCCTCGGGTGACCGGCGCGCTGTCGTGCCCCAGCCCAAGCCGACCAAGGGGAGAACGTGGACAAGGCGCTGCAGTTCCTCAAGGAGAAGCACGTGCACCTGGAGAACATGGGCTCCCACGACATCGTGGACGGCAACCACCGCCTGGTGCTGGGCCTCATCTGGACCATCATCCTCCGCTTCCAGGTAGGCCCGGCTCCCAGCCCAGCCAGGGACCCGTTTCGGAGAGAGAAGCAGCCTCTCCCTGCCCGTCCCATGGAAAGCAGGGGGGCAGGAGCAGCGGAAGCTGCCTGAAAGTGTGGGGAGGCACTGGTGCCTAAAAAGTGGCCCCGCCCTCATGTTGCCTCTTCTCCTACGATCCCACCCTGTCCCCATAGGCCCCGCCCCATCCACTGAGACCCTGCCCTGTCCCCTAAGGCCCTGCCCCATCCACTGAGACCCTGCCCTGTCCCCTAAGGCCCTGCCCCATCCACTGAGACCCTGCCCTGTCCCCTAAGGCCCTGCCCCATCCACTGAGACCCTGCCCTGTCCCCTAAGGCCCTGCCCCATCCACTGAGACCCTGCCCTGTCCCCTAAGGCCCTGCCCCATCCACTGAGACCCTGCCCTGTCCCCTAAGGCCCTGCCCCATCCACTGAGACCCTGCCCTGTCCCCTAAGGCCCTGCCCCATCCACTGAGACCCTGCCCTGTCCCCTAAGGCCCTGCCCCATCCACTGAGACCCTGCCCTGTCCCCTAAGGCCCTGCCCCATCCACTGAGACCCTGCCCTGTCCCCTAAGGCCCTGCCCCATCCACTGAGACCCTGCCCTGTCCCCTAAGGCCCTGCCCCATCCACTGAGACCCTGCCCTGTCCCCTAAGGCCCTGCCCCATCCACTGAGACCCTGCCCTGTCCCCTAAGGCCCTGCCCCATCCACTGAGACCCTGCCCTGTCCCCTAAGGCCCTGCCCCATCCACTGAGACCCTGCCCTGTCCCCTAAGGCCCTGCCCCATCCACTGAGACCCTGCCCTGTCCCCTAAGGCCCTGCCCCATCCACTGAGACCCTGCCCTGTCCCCTAAGGCCCTGCCCCATCCACTGAGACCCTGCCCTGTCCCCTAAGGCCCTGCCCCATCCACTGAGACCCTGCCCTGTCCCCTAAGGCCCTGCCCCATCCACTGAGACCCTGCCCTGTCCCCTAAGGCCCTGCCCCATCCACTGAGACCCTGCCCTGTCCCCTAAGGCCCTGCCCCATCCACTGAGACCCTGCCCTGTCCCCTAAGGCCCTGCCCCATCCACTGAGACCCTGCCCTGTCCCCTAAGGCCCTGCCCCATCCACTGAGACCCTGCCCTGTCCCCTAAGGCCCTGCCCCATCCACTGAGACCCTGCCCTGTCCCCTAAGGCCCCACCCCTTCCCCTGAGACCCCGCCCTGTCCCCTAAGGCCCAGCCCCATTCCCTGAGGCCCCGCCCTGTCCCCTAAGGCCTCGCCCTTTCCCCTGGAGACCCTGCCCTTTTGTTGCCCTTTCCCTGAGGCCCCACCTCACAGCACCCCTACCCACTCAGGCCCTGCCCTTATATTGCCCCTTCCCCAAGACCCTGTCCTCATGTTGGGCTTTCTCCCGAGGCCCCGCCCCCGCACTCCCTGCTCCTTTGCTCCCTCCTCCCCCCAAGACGCTGCCTCCTGCTCACTCTTCTCCACCCCCAGCTCTCTCTCACTTGCTGCTACAGCCCTTGCCCCCCTGCCTCCTCTTCCCGTGCCCCTGCTGGGCTCGGAGCAGGTCTCCCGTCCTGTGAAAACTTTCGAGCTTTCAGGAATGTTTCCCATCCCAATCCGGGTGCAACATCAAACGTTTGACCATTTTCCCAAACCGAAAAGCCGGAAAGGGGGCCTCTGAACCCAAACCGTCTACCCGTTGTGTTTCTGGCTTGACCGTTTTCCTTTAAAGAGACAGATTCTTGCCTCGGCAAACGGGCTTCTGTTTCCACCCGGAGCGGCCTCGTGAGCCAGACATTGGAAGTGTGTTTGAGTGAAGGAATGGGTTGTTCCCTTCCAGCCGGCACGGTTCAGTTTTGCTAAATCTGCATTTTTCACCCCCAGAATTTTGTTAGGAAACTGCTGCCCAGGGCTGCCCCCGGGTCTGCACAGCAGGGACGTGTTCTGCCCCCGGTGCGGGGCTGGCATAGGCGGCCATGGTCCAAGTCACCGTCTGCTTGCTGCCCTGCTCCTGGGGCAGAGTCATGGCAGAGACCTGGAGGAGCCGGCTCGGGGGTGGCAGGAGCTGCTGCCCGGGAGAGGGGGTGGGCAGAAGGGAGACCGGTGCTTGGGGCACCCCAAAATTTCCTGCTTCTGCCCGCCTGGCACGTGGGCTCTCAGGGCCCCTCAGCTCACTGCTGTGCGCCAGGGGGCTCTCCGGGAGCAGCCCAGGGAGTCCTGGGGTGCAGCGCGAGTTGGCCCAAGGAGCTCGGACACCTGGCTCCACCGTTTCCTTTCAAATCCCAACGTTTTGTTTCCGTTTTCCCAAACCGAACGTTTTTCAGCATGTCCATCCCACGGGGAGATTTCTAAGCGTCTCCTTGTTGCTCCATTGGGGAGGGAAAAGGCCGTGGTCGCGTCGGCCTTTCCTGGCTGGTTCCCGTCTCTGGAACTCTCGAGTCGCTGGGCACATAGGAGCCTCCGACAGCTGAACCGTTCCTCCCGGGGGTGGGAGGGGGAGCGCCTCTGGTTTCTTCTGGAGTCGGGGTTCTTCTGGAATGGGCTTTTTCCTTCTCTCAGATCGAAGACATCATCGTCCAGACACCGGAAGGCCAGGAGACGCGCTCTGCCAAGGAAGCGCTGCTGCTCTGGTGCCAGATGAAAACGGCGGGGTACGATCCAGCTAATGCTAGGAACTATTATAACAACCACCAGACTGGGTCCAACCCAAGGCCCATCTAGCCCAGTATCCTGCCTTCCAACAGTGGTCACTGCCAAATGCCGCAGCGGGAATAATCATCAAGCAATCCCTCCTCTGTCGCCCATTCCCAACTTCTGACAAACAGAAGCTAGGGACACCGCCCCTGACCATCCTGGCTAATAGCTATTGACAAACCTGTCCTCCATGAATGTACCTAGCTCTTTTTTTAACCCTGTTATAGTTTTGGACTTCACAACATCCTCTGGCAAGGAGTTCCACAGATTGACTGTGCATTGTGTGAAGTAGCATTTCCTTTTGTTTGTTTTAAATGTGCTATCTATTTCATTGGGTGACCCCTAGTTCTTATGTTATGGGAAGGAGTAAATAACTCTTCTTTAGTCACTTTCTCCACACCACTCATGATTGTATACACCTCTATCATGAGCCCCCTTGGTCGTCTCTTTTCCAAACTGAGGAATCCCAGTCTTCTTAATCTCTCCTGTTCTGTACTCCTAGACATTTTTGTTGCCCTTCTCGGAACGTGTTCCAGTGCCCAGACATCTTTTTTGAGATGAGGCAACTGCAGTCACTCTCCCCCACTCCAAGAAGCAGAGCGACCACATGAGTCTGGTTTATGGGCACTGGCGTTTTCCAGTCCCGGCTGCGGAATGAGAGCAGCATCTGGAGTTCCCACCATCTAATGGGCACCTGAATCCCATTGGCACCAGTGGGGGTTGGGGAGAGGGGGCGTCTGTGTCTCCAATAGTCTAGTGTCCCTCTGGCGTGCTAGGCGCATCCTGCCTTCCCACGGTGTAAGACGTGCTTAGCGTCTGTATTTGGCGTTGAAAACCACACAGAGAAATAGGAAGGCTGGGATTTCTCAAGTGGCTTTCTCTGGGATTCAGGCTCCCAGTTCCCCTTTGGTTTTGGTAGGTTCCTCTGTTTTCCCAGGCACGTATCTGAGTCTCACACGACCACACAGCATGGGGGGGAGAGGAAGAGGGAGCCATGCCCAGCACAGCACTTGGGCCAGAGGGTGACACCATGTTTCCTCTTTGCCTTGCAGCTACCCCCATGTTAACGTGACCAACTTTACCTCCAGCTGGAAGGACGGCCTGGCCTTCAACGCCCTGATCCACAAGCACAGGTCAGAGCCCCATTGCCCAGGGGCAACACGGACGCCTGTCTCCCCTCACTAACGGGGGGAGGGGAGCGTTCTGGGGCTAGGATGGCCCAACGGTTTGTGTCCTGCCCTGGGACTTGAGAAACCTGGACTCAGCTCCCTGCTTTGCCCCAGATTTGCTGGGTGACCTTGAGCAAGTCACTTAGGCGCCGTGCCTCAGTTTCCCTTCTGCCGACAGGGCATCGTAGCCCTGCTCAGCTGCCCGAGGGACTTGGTGCTCGGATCCTGCAGAGCTGAGGGCTGGACGAGGACCCAAACAGCTGCCAGCTTGACAATGGCGCTGGTCACGTGGCGCTTCCTTCCGCTCCCTTCGTGCAGATCGCAACCTTCCTCTGCATTTTCAGGCCCGACTTGATCGACTTTAAGAACCTGGAGCATTCCAACGCCCGGCACAACCTGGAGCACGCCTTCAGCGTGGCAGAGCGGCAGCTGGGCATCACCCAGCTCCTCGACCCGGAAGGTAAGAGACCCCTCAGCCTCCAGGTACACCCCCCGAGGTAACTGCCATGCGCTCGGCTCTGCCTCGCCCTGCCCCCACACAAAGACAGAGCTGCATGGGAAGGCTTGGGGCAAAATATTCAAGGTTGCGTGCACCCTCCCCCATTCTGCAATTTCCTGTGCTGTTAGGAAGTGTCTCCCAGTGGTTAGAGCACTGGACTGGTTCTATTCCTGGCCCTGCTGGGTGAGCTAGGGCAAGTCATGCCCCAGCCGGGCCTCAGTTTCCCCATTTGTAAAAAATGATCCCCAGTGCTCCTTTCCGCTTTTGGAAGGCACTTTGGGATGCACCGAGGACACACGCCGGACAAGAGCCAGGAGCCCTTATTCCTCTGTAATCTTCATAGGGCACGTTCTGTGCCAGGCGCCCCTTTGAGAAGCCACAGCCTGCCTGTG